ATTTGAGGTCATCAGGGTCAGATCAGGGCCAGATCAGGTTCACTACATGGGAGATCATCATCATTATCATTTACTTTATTTCAGACACAATATAAGATCCATATAGAAAACATAAAAACATAAAAAACATAAAAAACACAGAATTAAAAAGACAAAAGCGTGATCCGGAAAAAAAAATATTCAGGTGAGTTTGGATGGAGGCCTGCAGCAACTCTGATACAAACTACGAACTTCTCTCGAGCACCACACAGCGCTGCTCCTCCGCATCTCTGCATGTCACCTCCGCACCACACAGCACAAGAGGCACCCCCGGTGAAAAACGATGAGATTGACTTGAGAGGCTGAAGTCGTCACTGGTCCAATTCGGTTCTGCTCCAGTCCGGCTCCGGCGCTCCACAGCACGAGCAGCTACCTCCGGTGAACAATGATGAGACTGACCGAAGAGGCTGAAGTCGCCTCTGGCCCGGTTCTGCTCCGGTCCGGTGCCGACAGCGCTTTAAAGCATCAGAGCGTCTCCTCCAGGCGAACACAGCGATTCCACGGAAGTGGACAGTCCCTCGTTAAAAGGCAACGGGCTGCTCACTGAGGCTGAGACCGGCTCTGTTGAAGACAAAGTCCCCCACAGCCAACTCGGTTCGGTTCTGGTCCAGTTCGGGGAACACAGGTACACTTCCCCCGCACCAATGAAGATGCCACGAGGGCCAGTCCAGCAGAAAGCCTGCAAAAAAGCCAGCAAAATACCACCCAGCGATTCTTGTCAGGACCAGGTAGAGCCACAAAGGTCCAGATGAGACGTTCGTTGGGGTGCGGAGAGAGAGAAAAAACACCGGACCTTCATGCGACGACTCCGCAGCTCGAGGGGTCACCTGACCGGCAGGGTGCGCTCAGAATGACCGGTGGGGTGGGAGCGACCGGTCCTGGACCAAAATAATTTTTTGGACCGTCCCGTCCAGCTCTCTGAGTCACTGAACACCAAATCTGGTTGGAAGGGGGGCCAACTTTAGTCCGGATCGAAAAACGGGTCAGTTTGATGATAAAAGACTACAGAGAAGGCGGGGGGAGATGCCGTCCATCAGCTTGCCAGAAACAGAAGTACCAGTCTGTGTGTAATGAATTAATATAATATACAAGTTTCACTTCTTGAATTGAATTACTGAAATAAATCAACTTTTTCATGATATTCTAATTTTATGACCAGCGCCTGTAGATCTACAGTATATCTAATCTAACTTTCATCTCGAAAATTCTGAAGAAAATAGTTGCAGGTCAGTTGTGCGAACATCTACAAAGAAATAATCTGTTTGAAGAGTTTCAGTCAGGGTTTAGAGCTCATCACAGCACAGAAACAGCACTGGTGAAAGTTACTAAAGATATTGCCATGGCCTCTGATAATGGACTTGCATCTACACTGATCCTGTTAGACCTCAGTGCTGCATTTGATACAGTTGATCACAATATTCTACTACAGAGGCTTGAATATGATTTTGGGATTACAGGAATGGCTCTAAAATTATACAAATCTTATTTATTTGATAGATTCCAGTTTGCAAAAGTAAATTATGAATTTGAATGGGTTTCCTGAGCTATCCCTTAGTTATGCTACTATAGGTTTAGACTGCTGGAGGACAAACTTACTACACTTCCTCACTCTGCTGCTGTTTTTACTTGCTCTACTTTACCCATTTATATTTGTAATTATTTCTATCTTAGCATGTGTTTTTTGTAATGGTGTTCACGTTAACTCGTTATTATCACGTTAACGCAGCAAATGAATAATGCCAACAATTATTTTAACGCATGTTAATATTGTTACGTTTTGGTTTCCTCCATAATTTGTCTCTTCAGCGTCTATGAACACACAGACACACAGCACTCCGGCCGGGGGCCGGCTTTCCAGTTTGAGACTGGGACAGGGTCCGCCTCAACAAGGATTACATCCAATCACATTGAAGCTCACGTTGTCTAGACCAATTACTAACAGGAAGGCAGGTCAAAAACAAGCTGGTGGAGAAAGCTGCAGGTCCAGTTCTGTTCGAGCAGCAGAGTTTGTTCCTCACATCAGGGCAAAACACAGTTTTACTGGAGAGTGCAATTAAAAACAAGTAGTGCTCTGTCTTCTAAAGCTGGTAGACATTAATTCTACATTGACTGACTTTTTCCCCCTTGCGAATCGACCCCCCTCCTACGCACGATAGACACATGACCGATTTCAGCTCTATCGGGAATGACGCAGCATCTCAGCGATTCCGTTTTAATTTGTGTCAAAAGTACAGACTTTAAACTACAAAACAGCTTTTAAAACGTGTTGGTCAAGTTAAACCAGAGTTATGATAAATTAATCCATGCCCGCCTCATCTTATTTCCTGAAAATCAGATCTGAAGCGGCTTTGAGCAGACTGCAAGCTGCAGCTCTGAGAAAAAACACCCCCCTCCCCCACACAGGTAAACAATCCCCTCTCCTGTATGAAGGAGGGTTGAGTATTTATGTAGCACCACAAAATCTGCACAAGAATAAGAAAAAACCAAACTCGGAAGCTGACCAAGGCCCTACTTACATGGACACGATGGGGGGAAACATAGTTTTTTTTTGTATGTTAATTAGAGGAAAAAATTTGCGTTGAGTAAGTAAGTAAGTTAGTAAAACTTTATATAGCGCTTCTCAAGATAAAAATCACAAAACGCTTCAACAAATCAGATAAACAAAAGCAAAAAAAGAAATTCAGGCAAAAGCAGATTTAAAAAGATAAGTTTTTAAATTTAAAGACACGGTCGGATTTTGTGTTTACATGCATCCGCAGGAATCTCCCCCCCCCCCCCCCCTTTTCCCAAATTTGCTGTAGTTACCATGCCGGGTCATTAGTTGGCGCTTTGAATTTTGTACAATCATCTAATGCGCATGCGTGCTGCCTCGGCACGCTCCTTTCCTCTGGGTTAAAAGCTCAACTAACAATAACTTAACAACAAGTTAAAGCAGAATTCTGGCTGGAATTTGGATAAGAGTCGACAGATGTGACGCCAAGCGGAACCGCTTCGTCTAACAGCTCCACACCGGTCGCTGAGTGGACCAGAACCGAGTTGGCGATGTCGGACTTTACTCCATGATAATCAGTAGCTGTTTTACAGCAGGTAAAAATCAATATTCTTAATAATGTTTGCTTGTGTTTACTTCGATCACACAACAACCAACTGAGTTTTTATTTTTCCTGAAAGAAGAAGAAGCTGTCCTTCCACCAGGCGGACCAGTTCTGAACAAGGCTCGGCCCAGATGCAGTGCAGGAGGATGTTGAAGACAGATGTTGGATGAACTATTTATTTAAAATTCTCCTCAGTTCTTGTATTCAATCCATTCAATATTTTAAGATGCATTAATCAAAGGAGTGACAGCCTGAACCAGATGAACAATGTGAGACCAGATTCAAGGATGAAAACAGAGCAGAGTCCAGTTAATTAATGCAGTTTACAGTTAACGTGTTTTTAATAGTGTTCATTTTAATTATCAGTGTTTGTGTGACATACAGTTTGTGGTGTTGAATAAATAAATAAAATAAAAATTAAACCTGATGTCTTCACTTTTGACTTTAATAACATGCAATATATTTAGCATCATTTTAATCACATAATTTGAACTACATAATGTCCAGATAGCTTCATTATATATCTCAATTTTAAGATAAATACTGTTTATTATTATTAAACTGTTATTATTTAGCACATTTAGATGTTATAGTGCAGCGCGACGTGTATGCGTACCTCGTTCTATAATCCGCGATATTAGAACTGGATCTGAATTGAATATCTCATTGATTAAAATCATGTACTCACTGTGCCAGGGACTTCTGCAGAATTTCTGGTGGGTTTTCATCTTGTATACTACCTCTCCTGTACTTTGGGCTGAACTGGGAGAGATAAAACCTCAACACGCTCACCAGCTTCTGAGCTTTAGAGTCCAAACTGACTCTGTTAAGAACAGAAAGTGTACAGCTTTAACATTAACCATTCACAACGTAGCCCCAAAACTGACTTTTTCTCCTATTTCCATGCATACAGTGCTGATGCATAGCAGTTTAATGCTGACTTTTGCGTGTGTGTGTGTGTGTGTTTGGGGTTACCTGAAGGCAATGACACTGCCAGGTGTCAACTTCTGGAACTGGATTTCTTGGACAAACTCAGATCGACCTTTAGACGTCGCTCCAGCATGTTTCATTACCATACTTTCCTCTATCTGTACACATAGAGATGAGAATAGAAATATAATTTTTTGGTTCGCTGAGGGAAATTGTTTGTCACAGCAGCAGGCAAGGTCAAAATTAAAGCATAAAAAATTACTGTACACAAACAAAACAAACAGTAACTGATGAGACAAGACGTAGAGCAAGGATGGCAAGGAACACACAATTTACATATTTACAGTGATACTGTGCAATGATGGCAAAGTATACTATATATAATATTTTTACAGTAGTCCTATACTATAATAATAATATGGTTTAAAGCAAGACTATAATATTCAAAGTGTTTACCTTTATATGTTCTTTTAGTTCCACTGTGTATTCTGACATGCCGTTGATGTAGTTATCATCCCTCTTATAACTCCCAGCATCCCTCTGTACAGTCCTGGCCTCCAAAACAATTTCCTCTAACTTACCTGAAAGGGGAAAAAAAAGGCAAAGCAGGAACTTTGAGAATGTTTTGGGAAAATTGTTCAACTGTTGAAAACAGAAAATCAGATAAGAAACAAGAATACTAAATATGGCACATTATACACCCGACGACAAACTATTATATAGCAATACAACAATCTATAGCAGTGACCCACACAAACAAAGATCTTGTATAAACTTTGACAAAGATTTGAGACCATGACCTTTAAGCTGGGGTGATGTAAAGTGTATACGACTGTCCGTCTAGAGATGATGCATATGTGTATGAAATTTTGTTACATTATCTTGAGCAGATCAGAAGTTGAGGGCAGGACAAGAGAAAGTTTCTGTACTTTTGTACGCACATACATAAAGCCTTTCGACAGGCTTATAAAGTGATTAAAATAAATAGTTCTTGTATGTCTGCTTGAAATTATAAACTAGAAATGCAAAAGTTCACATGGATATGTGAATGAAAGACAAAATCAGGAATAATAAAACTGATTTAAATGTGAACTTCAAATGTTTAAGAGCTATACAGAAATAAGATTCTGGCATCACGTGCATCGCAGAATGATAGAACTGATGGGAGCTTGATGTCGACTCGATCTGTTTTTTATCCAGTTGCTTTTATTTTAACTATTTTAGGAGTTTTGTGTGCCTCTGCCTTGCCATCCTGTCATCGTGGTTCAGTTTCCTGCCCCCTTCCAGCCTCTGGTTCAGGCTTGAGTGTCATGGCGGCCATCTCCATGATCCTCCATCTGTCTGCATGAACCGAACTCTACAGACCCCTTCGGTTCCGTGGGGAAACCTTGGATGTTCTCTGTCTGTCAGACCCGGTTCTGGAGGGCAGTCTGGGAGGACAGTTGCTGCAGTCCTTCTTATCATCATATAGTTAACGGGACCTGCTAACGCTGCAAACAAGACCACGACGCGGACAGAAACACACTGCTAACAGTACCATGTTGCTAACAGAACCATGCTGCTAACAGTACCATGCTACTAACAGAACTATGCTGCTAACAGAACCATGCTGCTAACAGTACCATGCTGCTAACAGAACCATGCTGCTAACAGTACCATG